TGTATATGTTATCGATGCAGCCCATTTTGTGCAAGCATTTAATTTGATCAAAGCATTTCATACTCAATGAATATTGAATTAAAATCAATTTAATTTTCGAGGAATTTGAATAGACAATTCTAGTAATTATGATCCTAAAAAATAACTTGATCCTGAAGAAACATAAAAACTCTTTTTCCTCAATAAACTTCAAAAATAAAAATGGTCTTATCTCCTCAGTATTTATATTATGATTAATTTGAAAAATTGTAAATGAAAGATAAATATTGGTAAGCCTGAAGCCTTAAATCTTCCTGTTCTAAGTTCTATTTCCAGTCGATGTTAACTCGTATCTTGTTACAGAATGAACCCTCTGACGTAAAAGGACCAATGGACGACATGCTCAAGAGCAAACACGAGGGTCCCGAGCCACGAGTCCTCGAAACAAACGACATCTATGAAGAACAATTGATCGAGCAACTTTTACCAGTTTACATTGAAGAATCTCGTGTTTGAAGAAGTCACTACAGTCACTCCAACAAGTATCCGTACCCCCTACGTTTATTAAAGAACTCTGTCTAAATTAAACGACACCTTTAATATTTTCAAATAAATCCTTCATTATCCATATGTACACAAATAGACTTTACACGTTTATATACTCGCAATAAAAAAATTTTTGGAAACATTAAACCTATCATTTAATTTAGACAATGTCCTTCAATAAACAAAAAGGATACGAATATTTATATTTGATTACTAACACCCTATGCCTCCCAGAAATAAAAAAGAGCCTACAACGTGGTGTCATGTAGGACATTTCCTTCACTACTGTTCACCAAACACCTGGCCATCGTTTGCGTTAAATATAACACGGTCAAACGATGTTCACCGGCTAGATGTCCCACCATGATGTCGTATTACGGCTCGAACAACATCCTAAAGCACTTGTTTTCCATGTTCACGCACACCGAACCATCTATACACCGCCTTTGTAACAGCTTACCGTTCTGCAACGCACAGCAAACAAACACCGAATTTCAGGGAGGCGTCGTGAGCCTGGGGTTCCTACTTTACGCCGAAATAGGACCAGTTTTGACACAATATTCAAATTTTGTTGTCTGTGACAGTTCGCAAAATGTAACGAATAACGAAAAGATTGTTTTGAGTTTACACAATTTAAGAAATAAATTTTATAAAATGTCTGGTGTTATACTATTATTATTTTATTTATGTTGTTAATGAACTAGATATATTTAAAGAACTTTGGTCTATACTTTCTTATAAAATAGGTAGTTAACTCTTCTTGAATTGAGTATCAAATATAATTTGTTAAAATAATGGCACTAATGAAATTAATATGTTATGATTTGTTAGTGTTCCTTTCCTAGTGTAGGAAGCTGTTATTACCTGTGATAAAAATCAAAGGTAAGAATTTTATTCAATATTATTGGTCCACTCCTTTTATATTTTCATGATATAAGACAGAACTGTACTGAAATCAGAAAATCTGAACTGCGAAGGGTTAAAAATCAAAGCTAAGAATTTTATTCAATATCACTGGTTCCCTTTTACACTGGTTTCCTTTTATATTATCAAAACATAAGACAGAGCTGTACTGAAATAAAAAAATCTGGACCTTGAAGGGTTAAAAAGTAAAGCTAAGAATTTTGTTCAATATCACTGCTCCACTTCCTTTTATATTTTCAAAACATAAGACAGGCCTGTACTGAAATCAGAAAATCTGAACTTTGAAGAGTTAAAAATCAAAGCTAAGTATTTTATTCGATATTATTGGTCCACTTCCTTTTAAATTATCCTCCTCCTTGGTTATATTTATTTTCAGATCGTTTCCCATTCAAGTTTACCGATATCCTGCCAGGGTTCGAGGAATTCTCATCGTAGCTCTGTCTTCCTAGGGTTAATGATTTCTCAGGGAAAGGGTATTATTATCACTGTCAGGTTACTTGGAAGAAGAGATGAAAACGATATCGAACATGGACGCGGTGGAACATGTTTTAAATAGAACGCGACCGAGATCAGATATTCTTCCTCGTCCATGAAATGCAATTACGGTTCCTTAAAATTCTACCACCTAAATTGGAAACCCTACCCTTTCCGTAATCAGGGGGCGTAGCAGCGGAGATCGAGCGCAATTCACGAAGAAGTTAATTTCTTGGCAGACGTTTACGTGTACTCGATTAACGATTCTCCAAGTGGTTTCATCAATGAATCTCTATTAACGTGCACAAGCTTTGTAATTACGCGATTCGAGAGCTTTCGAGATTTACGTAACCATGTCGCGATTTTTCAAGCCTCAAGAAGATCCAGGACATTTACATATGGAAATATAATGAAGTTCAAGTGAAGTATTTTTCTTCTAACGGGAATTTTTGAATTATGCTCTTTAAATATCATTCAGGTTTCATTATAATATTTAATTACGTATACTTCAATACCATTTGTGAATGATTAGAAAACAGTATCAAGGTCAACTAAAGGATTTTTCTTCCAACAGAAATTCTAAAATTATGCTTTTTAAATATCATTCATGTTTCATTATAATATATAATTATAATTAGAAACCACTATCCTAAATCCCTCTTCTAAAAACCTTTCTATATATTTTTCTTTACTAATTGACATACTAAATTACATACTATTGCTTCCACAATTATTTTTACTTCGAAGCGCTTGCAACATTACTTTTTCCAACAAGCAGCATAACCCTTCGTATGATTAAACTAAATTAAAATTTTTTAAAGAGACTTTTAACATATGATTATCCTAATTAGGGCCCGTTACAGACTTCGATGCGTACTTTATGCAAAGTATGATCGCGCGGTCGTCTAAGGATTAGTGAACTAAATTTCGGAGATAAAGCGAATAAGATGATAACCGAATTACTGTAACGATAGAGGTACGCGACTCGCTGCTTCAGGGAGCAGATGGTTTTCGTGAAAATTTCATTTGGACCCACCCTTTAAGGGCAACTCGCAGAATGGCTGGCGAGCCACGCTAATAGCTTTCGCCATATTTCACAGCCAACGTTCCCAGGTTATGCATTACCGCGTAATATTCGCGCGATTTCAGAGAAGTCGCATTTTTATGCAACACCGTGTGTGATTTATCCTCGTAACACGTATTCCAATAAATGCTCTCAATGTCGACTCGATTATTACGCGCTAATTTCGGACATTTGTTATAATAATCGTGAATTATGTCACGGTCGTTTAAAACTGTTTGCCTTGTCGGTTGCCTTTAATTAAGTTCCCGTGAATTAATTGCGTTGGTCGTCGAAACCATCGGAAAAGCTATAATATTTTCGCAAATCGACTGGAAATTAATATTGGTCACACTGGGGGAGGCAAACATAGTTAATTTTAAACAAATTTGCAGGGGACGGACTTAATTAATGAAACGGCAATCAAACTGGCCTTTGCAAGAGAAATTAGTTAACCATGAGTATGACAAAGGTAAATAATATTTTTGACCGACTTGGAAAAGAAGGTTACTCAATTCGACGTGTATATATTTTGTTTGTTTTTTTTTTTAAATATTCTATAGAAATAATAATAGTGGAGTTTTCTGATTTGAAATATAATTTATCCCTGAGTACGTACCTGACACTGTTTTCTTAAATTTGAAGAATAGCTTCCTAGCTATATTTTTAATATTCTAAAATGGCAGTAATAGTAGAGCTTTCTAATTTCAAATATAATTTTTCCCTGAGTACATACACAACAAATTTGTAAAATAGCCTCATCGATGAATGATTCAAGTCTCGGTATAAATTCGTGTAGAATTTACGGAAATCCGTTCGAGTAAGCATCGAGCTGCCTTGTATTCCAAAAATGTAGGCTACGATCGATGTATAAATGATTGCGCTCTCTGAAATAGTCGAAAGCATCACGTACAAGTTTCATTCCAGGTATGCTGCACTCGTCTTAAAGTAACCTTTCTATATTCAAGTAGGCCTGACTCAATTATACATTGAAGGATGTTGCTCACATCGAAACACTGGAAAAAGAATCCAGAAAAATGAATTTAAGTGTAATAAATTATAACGAGTGTAGCAACTCTTCTCGTACGCATCATATTTTTAGCATCCCCTATCTGTAGATTTTTAATTAATTTAATTACGATTCTTAACACGCAGTGAGTCCAAACATTTGCAATGAATTCTGTAATAATAATTGCAAACGTGAGATTTGAATTTTTTTTCCTGTAATTATTATTACAGAATTATTTTACCCTTCGAGTGCCAGAGGATATTTGCATAGACATCAGAGAAATGCCAGACAATTTCAAGTAATGATGATTGCAAATTTTTACACAATACTAAAAATATGTTGGACTTCTTTCATTATAAAAAAAAATAAAAATAAAACGTTATGGGTTTAACAAAGAAGTAGCGTTCTAAAATAAAATTCACGAATCCCAAAGCAGCATTCCAACGTGAAAACGTTCCCAACCCCTAATTTAGACCTTTAGAAAAATGTAATGGAAGCATAGATGTCCAGGTGAATCGAAATAAGGGCTGCGGTTCCTGGACCGAAAGCAAATGGGAGAGACAACGCGCAACAATGACAGCGAAAACAAAGGACAACGAGGAAGCCTCGAATTTGTACCGCTACGGACGCCTATCGTAGTCGTCGAACCCACCACCCAGCCGCGCTGCCGTCGACCGAATAATAGGGTGAGTCGGGGGCGAAACAGGGATGATTCGGGCAGTAGCATGCCGCCCTTGGTGCCGTGAACGTCGTGGAACGTCGCTCGTTACGGAAACGGAACGTCGACGGTGTCCCTTCTCTCGGCAAGAACACCTGCCACCCCTTGCGAGCCTACACGAGGATCCAGGAAACAACGACACCGAAACCACCCCCTAAAAGGAACCGAGACGCGTGAGTAAATTTGCAATTTCTTCCTATCTCTCTAGGAGACGAAGTAAACGAGAAATTTCGCGGGAAAAACGTGCGACCGAAACGCATGGAGCGGAAGACGAAAACGTTAATTGAGTAGGGGGTTGCTTTCAACGGTAATTAGACAGTGATAAATGGGCGTGACGATGCAGGGCACAGTGACTGCAGCTTCGTTGAAGCTACATTTTGCCTCGAATGCCTTCCACTCGGCGCGAATCTCGTCAATTAGCCACCAGCAACCCCTCCTCGGTTATCTCCTCTTACAGGGGATGTTCCGAAGGGGGCAGGAAAGGCGGGAATCTCTTTCTTGGCGCTCGAACTTCCGCGCGATCGTGCCACGCAACCCTGTGGATTTTTAATTAATTTAATTACGATTTCTTCGAGCACACCTCTGGCTCGTTGCGACGTGAATTGTTCGTTATGGAACACTCGTTGTTAACTGTTACCGTGAATGATATAAAATAAATTCGCTGTTTTTATTATCAATTTCCCCGCTCGCGAATCGATGGAATATATCAAACGTATTGTACGCCCACTTTTAACCCTTTAACCTGGAAAATAACGCACGTCGAGAGACTTTTGTCCCGGAGTCGGAGTTAACGTGCCACGCACGTCGAGAGCCTGTTTTTATCTCAGGATTGAATGTGACGTGAGGAACTTTTTTTATCTCGGAATTGGAAGTGACACGCGAGATCTAAATAATACTACTTTTTCGGAGTTTCGAGTAGGATAGGGCAGAACAAAGGATGCGAAAAAATTGTCGGTTTCGGGGCGGATTCGGAACCTGAATCAATGCTTAAAATTATTTTCGGGGTTACAACATTTTTCTAACATTTTTCTACTGTTCCTTTTTTAATGCAATGACATCAGTACTCATGTAATGAAATCTCCATGTTAAATTGTTAAATTATTCTCTTGTAAAAAGCAATCCTGAGACACTTAGAAAAACAAATGTAAATATACATATACTCACACAGCAAATTTATTAACCATCCTTATTTTTTTTTTTTAATTAAATACCATCTTAATAGAATAGAGGTCTATTAGTCATTAGAAATCTTCACTCTAAATTTCATGAATTTCTGACAAACAATTAATTAACTATAGCATTTCAGTAGAGGCCTATTAGTCATTAGAAGTCTTCACTCTAAATTTCATGAATTTCTAACAAGCAACTCCCGAGGTACAATGCAACACAAACGCCAACATACAAACACATGAAGAAATTTGTTTAAATTAAAGATAGGTTTGATACTTCCAAACGTATGTTTGTATAAATATATACATATGTAACCTTACTCATATACATATTTATAACGAGAAATTCATTTGGTAATATCAAAATTATTTAATTTAATGAAACGTCTTCGGTAGACATAGAGGATGCGAATATTTATGGGATTGGCTGTTACGTATTGAAATCTGAAACCACATCGCGTAAATTTTAAAAATCACGAAACATCGAGGAATGTAGAAATACCAAGGGGATTAAATATTGACTAATAAAAATACGTTTCACCCTCTGTTGTATTTAATAACGGTCAGGAAAGTAAAACACGGTAATTTAACAACCCCTAGGGCAGTTCCTAGACCCGTATCGCTGGGGGTTCTCCGTACGCGTGACGTGGGGTTGCTCGGGCGAAATTACTCAGGATTTATTTCATCGTTTTCAGAGAGTGGCCCGTTGTTTGTCAGTAGCTCCAAGGGATGAATTCAACGATAGAAAATAACGAAGAGAGTTCGTACGTTGCTTATTACATGGTACTTCGCGATAGTTTCCGATACCCTACACAACGATAACATTCTTTGCTATTTGCAGTAAATAAAGGGTGTTCCTGAAGTCCGAGAACATTTCTTCTTTCTAGAAAGTTGGATTTTTGTGGAGAAATTTAAATATTCTTGAAACTAGTTAAAAATAACGGATAAATAATTGATGATACGCGATACCTTTCTTTTTTTGAAGTCAGAGTTAAAGCAACGAGTTTGTAATTAATTTGCTACATAATAAACGACGTGCTGGACAACCCTCGAATATTATGAGGAACATTCGAGCTTAAGGGTCGAAAAGGATCCCTACAATTTTCAAATTAACAACCACGAGAGCGCGTGATTTATATTTTCGCATTTAACGTGGAGTCCAACGTAGACGATTCATTACCATAATTGGTTCATTATGGATCGCGTTGTAAAACAAACAGCTAAAAACAGAGCTATAAAATTGATAACACGAGTCTCGTATTGCACACGATAATAACGTTTTATTTATTACAACGTGAAAATTTGGAATTCGATATCGATACTTTTCAGTTCCACCTGGTTAAACTTTTACGAAAAAAAAGCTGGACCGTTGACATACATTTTTATACAAAAATTATCGGGACAGCATTGTTTAAATATTAACATGCACGGGCATTTATACTTTCACGACCCATTTCTTCTGTACGATTTCTATAAGCTTTGTGTACACTCTATTCATAATAGTACGTATCCATAATGTTGCATTCGTATTACGTGCACTTTTTAAAAACTTGGCATGAACGTCATCTAGAATAAGAATAAAACAAATACCATTTCGGTTTTTACATGAAAATTGAGCTTTTATTGACGAGGTCGAGATAGGACAAGAAACATTTTGATATTTTAAATAACGTGAGCTCGAGTACGCTACACGAACTCTTCGCCCCCGTCAGGTCGATCACACTCGAGGAAAAATCATTAAATCTGGCGGCGATCATCGCGTGACGGTCGTGACTGAGCCAAGGGTTTATTTTTCCCGACTTCCAAGCCGTTTAATTAACGACCCACACAGAACGCCGCTTGTAGAAGTTATTGCATCTTCCTTCTACAAAGCATGGAATTTTTAATTATCCAACTTCTGGGGATCATTGCATTTGTCTAAGATTTTTTGGTAAAATTTCTACCAAAAACTCGAACAAAAGTTTCCTTAATTTTCTTTGAAACCTAAAAAGACAGTTTGTAAGTTTCTCGCGGAATTTTTTTGAAAAACTTGAAAAGAAGTTCTTCCAATTGTTTTTGATACTTGCAGAGAGAAGTTCAAAGTCCTGCTTAAAGTTCGAAAAGAAATTTTTTTTTAATTGTTTCTAGAACTTATAAAGAAAGGTATCGAGTTCTTTTTGAAGCTCGAAGAGAAAACTGTTCAATTGTTTTTAAAGCTTAAAAAGAAAATGTTTAAATATTAATACATACAAAGGGTTCAGTTACGTAGTGAAAATTCCTAATTCTGTTGTAATTCTGATCTGCCCGTTTGTAATTTCGCAAAATTGTAAAAATCCTACTGATACTTGGATTGAAAAAAGTGTATGCAGACTTGAGGGGATAGGACAAACGGGATGAAAAGCAGAAGGAATAAAGTGCAATTAAGTTTCAACGGAGTTTAGCCGGAAGATAACTTTCCTGCAAACATGACTCTTTTTGTTTAATTTACTTGGGCCGACGTCGACGTTCAGAATCGTATAAACTTTAGAAATTATTCAAAGCAGAGGTGTTTCTTTGCATTGCGATACGAGTAAAATATAAAAAAATCTGATACTTGAATTTATTAAATAGAAATGACGTGGTGTTTCAGATCGATAAGGCTCGAGTAATAATTTAATAGTAGATTAATTTCAAACTCTTGCGGCTTATTATTACAATTAATGTACAAAGTTTCGAGAAGAAGCCTCACGTTGTACAAACTTGTTCGTATCGCTTGACGTGTCTAATACGTTGACTGGCAGGTGAGCAAACAAAAACAGCTATCTGGATCAGTTTCGTCTGCCGTTTAACAGCTTCGCGAGTAGACAGGCGCTATCGTGAATGAAAGAAAAGTTATACTGCTAAAAGCGGTATAAAGTTTCCTACTTAAAAGCAACTTCAGATCCTCCACAAGTCATTTCACGAAAATATACTCGAGTAAATCCGTGGAAACTCCAAACATTTTGAAACGTGCCAGAGAACTATTTTAAATGTCGTAGTTCACTTTGCCAAAAATATTGTAGTAGTTGATCGTTTTATAGATTCTAAAAAAATTCCTAAAGTGTGATTCAGAAACATCCTTTATAGAAATACTTTATTCCTAAACAGTTTCGAGGGAATATTTGTAATCTTTTTGCAGCTAAGTAATGACGTGCAGCTTTGAAATTTGCCAAGGTTACTTTTACACGTATAAACGATATTTTAATAAATTTGCAAATGGATTCGATAGATTCGCGATAGAGAAACTCCTTAAAACGTTCGTCGGTGAAGCAGAGGTTCGAGAATAAATTGAAACGTCTCCCCTGACTTATTGACAGAACGAATGGCAGGTGATAAATGGCTCGGGGGTGAATTTCCTTTTTATTCTGAAGAGCACGATGGCAGGTGTTCCGGCACGAACACCGATCCCGAATAGATGAAAGGACCGCGGCGTCCTCCGAGTGACTTGTTACGCGACCGTGTCGTTGAATCCGTGAAACACGCGCATCATTGGCCGTATTCAATGCCAGCTAGAAATCCGAATTCCACGATCTGGGTTAATAGCTGCCGCATTCAGATGCTGTATTGAGTATCCGCGCGCATCATCAGTTACCTTTATCGAACGATGTAATTTATCTTGCTTGAAAACTAGTATTCAAGATTCGGCGACTTCGATCCAATAATAGATACTTTAAGTTTCGATAAGCGTACTGAGAATGTAATACATATATTTTTTGATATTTTAAGTGGAATACTCCATTCATGGCCAGACACGAATTCACTTGGTTCGAATGATAGGTATTTCTCGAATATATCGTGCAATTGATCAATTTTCCGCGTCAACAATTTTGGAAGACGCTGTGTTTAGTAATAATGAAGTTTCAAGTGGAATATTTCATTCATGGTCAGACAGGAATTCACTTGTAATAACAGGTATTTTACGTTTCGCTGAACGAATTGAAAATTCGGTGACGTTACTAGTACTTTCGTGAAGCGAGGTTCAGTTCGTTATGAATGTTGTACATTTT